CACGTTCTGGTCTGGAGGGCTGCATTTTCATGTCCATGTACTCAAATACCCACTGCAGTGTTTGAAATCCATTAACATCCCCCCCAACTAGATCATCTTGAAAACGGGGAGCCTGGCCTTAAATTTCTGGCAGAGCAAAATGACAAATGAATCATTGAGACTCGTGAGTGCCCCGGCATGAGCCAAGCGCGGCATACTCACGTTCACCGTGGGCTTGAGGTCAGACTGGAAGGGTCACAGCGTCAGATATTCGGGTAGCTCTGGCCCTGGGAGACTGCTAATGTCCCACCACTTCTGAGCTGTCTTACTCAGTTGTCACACACAGCTGCTCATGTCCCCACATGAAGCTCTTGGTTGTGGCATGATGGAGAGGGAACGTCATGGCACCTGAACGCAGTAAGGAGACCCGACTTGGGAGGGAGGCACGTGCCCTGGGAAATCCAGAGGCCGCCTGCAGTGCTAAGTCCTCAGGCATCGCAAGGCTCCTTGTTTGTAACCATAGCTGCCCAGACACAGAAGGGAAAACTCACGACCACCAGGCCAGGCCTGGATTAGAGATGTGCATTAAACGGGGAAGAAATAAGGACAGCCTGACCTTTGCCCTGTACGTGGCCTGGACGGTTTAGCCAGAGAAGCCTTCTCTATCGCTCTGTCTCACCCTCTTGCATTTCTCCTAGCAATTCTGGCCTCTCATCAGTGCATGGAACTGCTGGCGGCCAGATCTGTGAATGCCTTCCCCTTTGTTCTGCAGTTACTTAGATTCCCCTTAAATCTCATCATTTAAATCGTTCCGAGAATAGAGTTATTATTTTTTAATCCCAAGAAATCATCAGCCGGGATCCGATATTACAGCCTGCCACCAGAATCGCTAATGTGTACAGACCACTCTTGATAGAGTTTTAGAGCAGCTGAGAGTTTCTGCAAACTGGGCAGGGGGCACACAGGATTCCGGGATAGCCCTGTCCTGCCGGTTGTAGACAAGCTGCACAGAGCGGCCGTTTGTTACCATTTGCGCACCCACGTGGACGTATCAGCAGTGACACTCAGAGTCTAGGGTTTACGTGCGACTTCACTCCTGCTGTGGGACATTCTGTGGGTTTGGTGTGTGGTGCATTTTGAGTGTGTTGCCCTGACGTCATTCTGGATTTTGTGTCCCTCTTAGGCAGCTCGGCTAGAAATTTAGGAGTTCAGTGTTACCAGCGCCTGGAGTTTTGTGCAGGAAGCTTCATAGCAGCATTCCCAGCCCACCCACAAGGCTTTCTGCTGTGTGGAGTGCTCCCAGGGAGCAGACCAAGGCCCCTGACCTACCCAGGTCTGTCTGGGTACAGTACTCTGTACACTGCACCCTGCTGACCTGGGGCCTCGCTGGGTAAGGTCAGGAAAGGTGGCTGGTCACTGGGAGCCCTGGGCTTTGTCCCAGGCGTTTTTCCCTGGATGGGTGCAGGCCGCGTGGCATCACAGAACCCTGCAGGCACAGAGGCTCTTCCAGGGCAAGCGCAAGCCCACAGAGTGAGGATGATCTGTGCATTTTACAGGATGGCTGGGTATAGTAGAAGCAGCACGAGGAGGGGCAGGAGCCGATGTCCAGCCCTGGCTCTGCCATCCTTTGGTTAGAGACGTGATTCTAGCCAGTTCACCTCCTCTGGGCCCATGGGCCCTGCTTGGAGATGAGAGGTTCCTCTGATGGTCAGCGAGCCCCGGTCAGCCTGCGGGGTGATGACTGGGAATTTCAGAACCCAGAGGACTGACACTTCCACTGCGAGTGTAGCCCAGCATGCAGTGCAGAGACTTGTGGCTGGACTGGGGTGTGTCTATTCCCTTGGGTGTTTTTAATCAGTTGAGGTGTCTTCTCTCTCTTTTGAGGATTCTTAGTCCTTTTTGGTATGAAGTCCAAGTTTACTGTGACATGTGTCTGCTGGCAACGCAGAGGCCACAGTGAAAGTTTTTCTGCATGGGCAAGGTCAGATATCTGCCTGGTTTTTGAGATGGCAGATCCAGGGTACAGA